GTGTGATTTCATGCTTATATCTGAGGAATGAATCATCAATGACGAGCTGCTGACATCATTTTCAAAGCTACGCTGCCCCCGATTTATTCGTTCCCTGCTTACTCGAGCTGACACATTCCATTTATTCTACCGCACCGTCATTCACTCCATCCCATTACTAATCCCTAGCTTTCCAGTATTCACAACCGTTCGCTATACCGACTAGTTACGTTGATCGATTTTTGGGATGCGGCACGCATTCTACTTCCATTTGTACATTCGTAGTGGCGTTTGAATGCGATGTGGCCTATACAATGACTTGCGGGGCCAGCCGATGTACAAGTCAGTGTTTTTATCCTCCCAGACAAGTCTGGTACCAATTAACCGACCCCGGAGGGATGGAAGGCTTGGTTGGCCCGGGCGACTCAGGATTTGATCCCCGGACCGCTCGCACGTAAAGCCACTTGCCACCTACTCCGTCATGCAATACATTAAATCTCGGGGGGGGCGGCGATGGTTTTGAGTATCTCAGAAAATTACTGACAGATTTATGCCAAAATTGTTTTTTTGTTATTATTTTATTTTTAAGCCTGTATTCGGAGGCAATATATCTTCGCGGTGAGAGCCGGTGTAGCCGGCCAAGTCCGCAAGTCATTGTATAGGCCACATCGCATTCAAATGCCACTGCGAATGTACAAATGGAAGTAGAATGCGTGCCGCATCCCAAAAAGGGATTGATCAACGGCAAATGCTTTATCCTTTTACTCGTAGTAATATTTTATTCTGGTGATAGCCGTGTAGCGGCAAGTGGCACCAGCTTACCATGCGCGCGGCCCCATGATCATATCCTGTAGCTCTCGTCCAGCTCAACCAAATTTTGCATCTTTTCGAGGTTGGTTAACTGGTACCATATTCGTCAGGGAGGATAAAAACACAGATTCATATGTGTTGTCCTCTTTCAATTCATTGTATAAACCAGTTCGCAATCAAGTGCCACTACGAGCCTAAGGCCGCGTTCATAGTTCGCGACTGGGGAGATTAGGATAGTAGTAGAGTAGGAGATTGCGCTGACAAGATTGGATACGTATCGATTGAAATCGCTGGAGAGTAGTAGATTGGGCGACTTCAAGCGAATAGATCAATACATATCTAATCTTGTCAGCGCACTATCCTACTCTACTACTATCCTAATCTACTACTATCCTAATCTCCCGTCAATACATATCTTTTTCATTGTCGCTATCCATTTCCTAATCTATCCCAATCTCAGGGTCGCGTACTATGAACGCGGCCTAAGCGAAAGCAGAATGCGCGGCGCATGCCGAAGAAGGGTCTATAAAAACTTCATTTTTTCGGGTTGAAGTGGTGTAGTGGCAAGTGGCGCGCTCACCACGCGAGCGGTCCGGGGATCAAATCCTGGGTCGTGAGTCGCCCGGGCCAACCAAGCCTTCCATCCCTCCGGGGTCGGTTAATTGGTACCAGACCTGTCTGGAAAGATAGGGATTGAATGTGATTTGGCCTACGCAAACTATGATTTGCATCGGCTGGCCCCCGCAAGTCATTGTATAGGCCACATCGCATTCAAATGCCACTGCGAATGTACAAATGGAAGTAGAATGCGTGCCGCATCCCAAAACGGGATTGATCAACGGCAAATGCTTTATCCTTTTTCATTCTATTCATTGGTACCCAGCTATTCATCGAATATCGAACAAAGGAATCCCCTGTACAGGACATAATTGAAATTCGTTTTTTTTTCAATTGGGTTATCTTGTTAATTTATGGATATTTTATCTCCACAGTTATTAATAACCTAATAATAATAATAGTTAATTTTTAGCTCAGATTCCGACAGATTCCCGATTTATTTTCTATGAAAAGATTTGAAAAAAGCTATCTTTTTCGTATGCAAATTTTTCCCTAATTAAATATCAACGACATTGCCTGAAATTTGTCGGATTCTATTATGTCTTATTTCTGCATACTTGTCAGTAGACCTTTGTTTTCTCCTATTACACCCTTTAATTTCCCTATCTGTTGTTATTGCTCTATTAATCGAAGTTAACAAGTATTCACATGATGGTTTTCACGAGCTGCCTCTTAAATTGTTCTAATTCTATAATTTTGCGAAAACCAGCTAAATTGAGCATTTTTCTTCATAAGTAAGCTTTCAAGGGGAGAAATACCTTATAACTTAAATTGTTTAATGTAGCGAGTTAACCAAAGCGGCTCTGAAAATATCCCAGTTTACGTGCTCCAAGCAGAAAGTGTGGTCAGTGCGTCCTTCATCCGCGTGCGGTCTCGGCGCCCATTGTTACCTTCTACCAGTTTCCGTTCAGCCATTTCCTTCGATGTTTTGCGTTAAGGTCGGCTGCAATTCTCTCAAGTGACATATTGCTTTTCCAGGAATGTCATCACAAAAGAAATCCAGTACGGCACAACAATCAAGTGTAGCACCTGTGGTGCACAAAGTGAGTTCATTGCTTGCTTCTTTCTATTTCCGTTTTTTTTTTTCTTATTTGCTTTTGATGAGTGAGCGATATGAGCGCCATGGAGTTTCGGAGGGATTAGTAGTCGTGTACAATTCTTGAAACGATGACACTTGCCCCTTTGACATGTGGTGCAGCAGGTTGTCACCTTAATGACGTTGCAATTTGAGTCAGGTGGCTTTAGGAGATCACCACCGACCCACCTGGGGGGTGTAGGGCGCCACGCCCGGGGTACAACCTAGTGACTGACTCCAAACTATATTATGCTGTGCATTGGGCGAGCGCGGGCTGGTGGACAATATCGCGTGTTTCAATGGCGTTTTTGGGCGAGATGTGGGTTTGTCCGCATGGTCATCGCGTAAAATGCTGATGTTTATTGAAGCGTACCAGTTGACGTTCGTCTTAGTTTCTGCAGCGAGGTCACACTTAAGCTATCGGCGGAGATCTATTCCAGTTTAGGGGGTTACGGACACTTGAAGTCATTCTTATGGTCCTGCCACGCAATGGCGGAGGGCACAGACAGTTAAAGAACGGCGCCTTTGATCCGGCTCAAATCCCAGGGAAGGAAGTGAGAGCTCTCTAGGACTAAGCCTTGTAGGAGGGAGGGACTTCGAGGTGGTGAGCCAACTACAGTGTGGCAAAAGTTTGAATGTGTGTGATCACAATGGCATGAGCCGCTGATAAGGCGAGAGAGAGCGCAGACGAAAGATGGATCTGAGGCGGTTTAAAGGACCGGGTTCAAGTAGTCGTCAACCCCAGTTAGGGGGCATCATGATGCAGTTTCTCGGCGAGCTAATGTAAACTCGAACATTCCAGCTTCTCACGCATGTCAAGTGACTGCCCTCACCCACCCCCCTAGGCTGGCTACACTCCCCCTGGCTCAGAGTTACCGTAGCTTTTTGGGAGTCACCGCACCATGATGCCCCCCTAACTGGAATAGACCCTACTTCGGTTTCAAGGCAGGTGGAAAGGCAAAGTAGCACGAGGTCGGTTGGGATGCGACTATTAATAGATTTGAAAGAAATATCGCAATCTGTCCCTTGCAGTTGGTATACAGAATTGCAGGTATCATCCGGTAATTGTGAGGGGTACGTTTATATTAAGGGCATCAACCACAAGAAGCATGTTCTTTTATTGTAAACGTTTAGGATAAGCATTAGAAGGGAGGGGGCTTTGGGTCCGTGAACAGCCTTCGTTTTCCCGGCGGGACTTCCTCCTTCTCCTAGGCTTAGTCTGACCTGCTGACTAGGTGGATGATACTTTCCGTAGAAGTTAGTGGCATCTTGTACAAAAACACATACATTACACAAAACACGTAAGAATTACATAGGAAAAAAAGCTGATAGCAGCTCGTAACTTTAAAGGAGTCCTTGAGCCAATTTCACATTAGCACACGGTGTACCGAAAGGCCCCGCTTAATTGATCAGTCCCCAAATTTGTCAACTTTTTGCCTTTGCAGTCGATGCACCTTTAATCTCTGGTAAGCAGACAAATTCGAGCTGATTGTTAATAGCAAGCACGATATTATGCGATGGGGAGTTTCTTCTTACTTCGAAAAAGTTACGGCGTAGTGACATCTTTCGACAGTACTTCGGCGTCAGGCCGTTCTTTCTGCTGCTCTTTTCGAAGGTACAGAGAATAGCCTAATCCAGTGATGGTTTTACATGAGTAAGTTCATGAGTTTCATGAAGTAGTAAGTACGTTGAAAGATCAAGCCTGTTTACATCCAGTTAGCCTCTGTTTTTCCAATTTATTCGTGAACTTTAAAGGGAATTGCATATTAAAAAATGGATGAAGCATACTGTTGTTCAATAGACATCGGAAAAGCTAATTTGAGCTTACATGGGCTTTGTTACGACTGAAAAGGGCGGACATAGCCGAGGACTGTCACGGTAACTTCGCAAGGGCGCCGTAATATCGAAGTTGTTGGTGTCATGCTTCTATCTCGAGTACTTTGACTTCTTCTTCTAATACTCTTTCAGGTCATTATGGTTGGAACAGGAGGCGTTGGAAAATCAGCTTTGACACTTCAGTTCATGTATGATGAGGTAATTTATTTGAGTGTTATTTTTCTCGAGCCATTGCAAACACTATGGTCATCTTCTTTTTTGAACTGTCGCAATTCAACAGCAATAGTTTTTTTTTAGTTCGTTGAAGAGTATGAACCAACCAAAGCAGATTCGTATCGTAAGAAAGTGGTATTGGACGGAGAAGAATGTTCAATTGATATACTTGATACAGCTGGTCAGGAAGACTACTCTGCCATCAGGTATCACTTAAACATTTCCCATACTAAAAATTTAACAAATCTGTGCATCTTATTTCTGTTTCAATGGATATTCAGCCATGGCACTACTTGTTCAAAAGCTGTGTCAATTAATGCATTTTTCCACGTTCGAAACACTAAGCGAAAATGCAAATATTTTGGTTTCCTGCAATATTTGTTCTGATATCCATGAAAACTCTCACGCGTCTGGGAATAAGATAGATAATACTTCGTGAAAACTGTGCAATGTCAAATTTTTTTATTGCACACAATCAAGCTTTTTGCATATCCTTGCAAGAAGGTGGGCTTTATCCTTGAATACCTTGGTGAGGAAGTTTGTAAGCGTCGGTGGCTTGAACAAAGTCTTATTTCGTGGAAATTCGAACTTTCAAGAGCCGAAAGTCCTTAACATCTTTCTGTTTTGGACACCACACACGTCATTAAGGTTTTAAGCTCTGAGTCATGCTCCCTGTCTTTCTAATCGACCCGAGCACTGGTGTCATATGATGGACGGGAAAGGAGCATACCTTTGACTTGAGTAGATATGCTTCTATTGAAGAAATTTTTTAAAACAATCGATGTGGATGTGAGTGATTGGGTGATGATTATCTACTCTCTTGGCAAAGGAAACAGTTAGCTGAGCGAACGAGTCAGGCGGCTTGAATGTGAAGAAAGTGGTCACTTTTGGACAGTTTGTGAATGTTCGTCAATTGAAGAGAGTGAGTGAATTGGGTCCTCTAATTGTGCCATGTTTCTTTGAAAGTTACACTTTGAGCTACTGACAATGAGTCTTTTAGCGCTTAAAAGTAACAACATATGGGTGATGCTTCTCTTTGGACTTATACCTTTCAAAAACTTGCGCGAAAGTATCATGAAACCGAATCGGGCCTTTATTTGTCTTGGGTTCTTAAGCTCGTAGAATGATGAGCGAATACTATAACAAACAATATTAAAACGTCACGCAATTAAAAACTTAGCGAGCAACACTCGTCTTTGATTATGCCAGTTGACAATTAACCTCCTTGTATAATTATGTCCTATTCCATCCTTTTGCCCATTCTTAATTACGAGGTAATGTGCGCTTTCATATTGGATTACTCTCGTCATTAGTTCGTCCATTATCCGCTCATTCGTTATAATCGATGCAACATGTCCACCAAAAGAGAAGAAAAAAAATTAAATCCACTCATTTCCTCATAGTTCTCGTAGTTAGTGAATGTTTCTGTTGAGGGAGTATTCCAATTTCCACATTGTCAAGGGATAATATTTTGCCACGATGTGTTTAGTTATCTTGTTTCGAGTTGCGCAGGTAATTTATCGTTGTTGAAATTCTCAAATTCAGTACTATTCAAACGCTCAAAGTCTATACATTTAAGCTTCTTTGTCGAATCAAATCGTAATGGCGAGCGAACGCAAAGCACGTGCACTTTCAATGCAGTGCATTTTGGATTGCAATTCAAAGACTGTTCATTAGAGCGCAGTTTTGGCCCTGACAGATTCTATGATTCAGCTCCTATTAGTCGGAACGACAAGTAGTTGTGCGTTTGCGACAACTTTGTTTTTGTCATTCTGGAACCATTGCCGAGAAGGTGTATGATCGTAACTTTAAAATACACCATAACCAGGACATCACCGTTTTTGAAGCTCTTGATAACGGTAGCTTATTTGTCCAATATATAGAACTTGAACTACCTGGCTGCAAACCATTGGAAGGCGCAAACTTGATGGAATAAAACGCTTTCCAAATTCCAACGTGTATGGTCCATATATAGACGCGTACGTTGTTAACATGATGTTACTGCGCACTTTTCCGACAAACGTCGAGGACCTCGTCGTAGTAGTGGTATGCAAGAGTTTAGTCAAGCCACCAGAATGGCATTTTACCTGGTCTCTCTCTTGTAGAAATAGCGAAAAGATTCCTTTGAACACTATCTTTTCATCGGATGTAGCGAAAGAGCGGGACCGAAATTTAACAGGAATGGCCGTGCTTCCAGTGGTTAAGGCTGCTGAAGTCGTCCATTGGACGTGGTGAGAAGGGGGCCAAGCACATCTGTCACATGTTGGGAATCAATTTCGTTTGCATAGCAGATTCTTCTATACGGCGATACTTGTACTTGTACTGCAACTGTTACTACACGACCTTACGCACATTTTTCTTATATTGTTAGTGCCGAGATGAGACGAAAGGTTCAAACCCCATCGATGGGCTAGCTTCACCTCACCGCTATCTCAGACGTCCCACTTTGTGTATTGTAAACTCCGCTTTGGTTAGTGACAAAGATGGAGGTGATGTAATATAGCATTACGGCATCGAAAAGCACACGTGGTAGCGGTATTTGGTGTGTTTTTTTATTAAAGGAAGTGGTCACGATAATTTTCATGGGAACGATAAGGAAAGCTATGTATTGGAGTGGATAGGGGTCCTGCCCAATGTTAGAACACGTGAAGTTTCAGTGGCAGTGGCGCCTTATCAACGGAGTGATAAGGCGCCGAAATCCACTTCCGTTCAGCAAAAACCAAGACTTATCGATGTGGAAAGGGGTGCGATAAGAGCGTGCTAGATATGATACCGTTATCGTTATCGTCCCGTTTTCATTCTGGAGTGCACCTCTTATCAAGCAGCCGCACCTTCTTATCTCATCGTATCATATCTTCCATGGGCTTACACTCGTCCAACAATTACTGCCTCACACCTTATCGATTGATAACGCGAGGGTAGCAAATCCAGCGTGGAAGCCAGCGTGACCGCTTCCTTTAATTGCTTTTTTTTTTACTGCAGCTCGCAATACAAAAGTTATCATAGGAATGCTGAGTTATAACCTCACGCTATACGTATGAGTGCAGATAAGCTTTGGTAAGTACTCATGGAAAGGCAGAGGGTTGCGATAATGCGGATGTTAATGAAAGCGAAAGATGGGGTAGTTGAAAAAGCAGAGGAATGTGCGTAGACGAATGTTAGCGGTAAGCTCGTTCACTTTTGAAATCATCGGGCGAAAAGTGGGTTACGTTTCTCGGGCTTCAGTTCCCTTCTTATTTCCTTTCGCAGATGCACCACATGGCGCCTCTGCTTTCACAGTTTAAGGCTTTAGCTTCTTGCGAGAAGTGCCTTCAAGATGAAGCATGGCCTTGGTGGTGTTATTGGTGCACAAATGCCCTGAAGCGAGAGGCGAGGGCGTGGCTCCGCCTGGTCTAAAACTAAGAATCCTTGCGATGACATGTGATTCGATTTTTCGATGCCGTCGCCATGTGTGTCAATAAGTTTGCAATTTCGACATGGTCTCACACAGACAACAGAGTTCAGTTCAATGGGCAGGCAATCCCCGAACGCATTGCCGTGGAATGTGCACATTTTTCAGCATTTCTTAATACAGACTAGTGGTATTAAACTGACATGGTTGCTGATTTGCTTCCAAAATGCAGTGTAATAGGATGTCATAGCGGTTATGTAAGGGAAGCCGGAAGTTGATGAGATTGAAAAACATTTGAGCTGAAAGCTAGCTAGCCGAAAACAACGACGACATGCATTTCATTACAAATATTATTCATCCTACTTACTATAAAGCGCTTCGTCTGTCGTTCTGTCTGTCGTTCTGTCCCTCTGTCTGTCGTTCTGTATGTCTGTCACGAAATTCCCTAGCTCCTCGGGATCCGCCTGGAGGGACCGGGTCAAGTGTGGGATGGGTGGGCAGGGTCTCACGTAATACAAAACACACATCAGCTAAGCGGAGCCCCGCCCACAGAGGGCGTGGCGTGCGTCGAAATGAATTGTACCAAAGACCAAGATTTCGATTTCAGTGAAAAAACGACCTCGAAACTGGGCCAAAAAGTGGGCTAAGGTGTGCATTGGTAAGTAACATCGAATTAGGGAGACCCACCCCCGGTGGGCGGGGCGTTCTCTAAAAAAGCAGTGCTTTATGAAAAATTTCATAACTCGGTTGGGAGAAAGCCTACAGAGCAGAAAACAATTGGTGTAAGGGAGCAATGTCTAAGGTGTTTCCCTGCATACATGACGTGGGCGGAGGCCGCCCAGAATGGGCGGGGCGCGCTCTGAAGTGTACAGCATTTTCTACAAGCCCTCATAATTCGGGTCGGGGAAGTCTTAAAGAGCCGGAAAAAGGTGGATAGAGGTGTATGGAGGAGTGGAGGCCAGCTGTCAATGGTGGGCGGGGCTTGACCAAAGTGGGCGGAGTTTGCGACGAAAATTTATAACTCGGCTCCATGAAGCTCCGGAGGCTGGGGAAAAGGTGGATAGAGGTGGGTGGAGGAGTGGAGGTTAACTGTCATTGGTGGGCGGGGCCTGACCAAAGTGGGCGGAGTTTGCGACGAAAATTCATAACTCGGCTCCAAGAAGTCCCGGAGGCCGGGAAAAGGTGGATGGAGGTGGGTGGAGGAGTGGAGGCCAGCTGTCAATGGTGGGCGGGGCCTGACCAAAGTGGGCGGAGTTTGCGACGAAAATTTATAACTCGGCTCCATGAAGCTCCGGAGGCTGGGGAAAAGGTGGATAGAGGTGGGTGGAGGAGTGGAGGTTAATTGTCATTGGTGGGCGGGCCTGACCAAAGTGGGCGGAGTTTGCGACGAAAATTTATAACTCGGCTCCATGAAGCTCCGGAGGCTGGGGAAAAGGTGGATAGAGGTGGGTGGAGGAGTGGAGGTTAATTGTCATTGGTGGGCGGGGCCTGACCAAAGTGGGCGGAGTTTGCGACGAAAATTCAAACTCGGCTCCAGAAGTCCGGAGATGGGGAAAAAGAAGAATATATAGTTGGGTGGAAATGGAGGCAAAGGAGCAAGTGTAGGCGGGCTGCCAAAGTGTCAGAGTTGCGACCACATGCAAGCCCCGCCTACACTGGCCGTTGACCTCCACTTCCCACCCAACTATATCCTTTTTCCCCACTCTCCGGGACCTTGGGCCGAGTTCTGAATTTTCGTCGCAAACTCCGCCCACTTTGGTCAGGCCCCGCCCACCAATGACAATTAACCTCCACTCCTCCACCCACCTCTATCCACCTTTTCCCCAGCCTCCGGAGCTTCATGGAGCCGAGTTATAAATTTTCGTCGCAAACTCCGCCCACTTTGGTCAGGCCCCGCCCACCAATGACAATTAACCTCCACTCCTCCACCCACCTCTATCCACCTTTTCCCCAGCCTCCGGAGCTTCATGGAGCCGAGTTATAAATTTTCGTCGCAAACTCCGCCCACTTTGGTCAGCCCCGCCCACCATTGACAGCTGGCCTCCACTCCTCCACCCACCTCCATCCACCTTTTTCCCCAGCCTCCGGACTTCATGGAGCCGAGTTATAAATTTTCGTCGCAAACTCCGCCCACTTTGGTCAGGCCCCGCCCACCAATGACAATTAACCTCCACTCCTCCACCCACCTCTATCCACCTTTTCCCCAGCCTCCGGAGCTTCATGGAGCCGAGTTATAAATTTTCGTCGCAAACTCCGCCCACTTTGGTCAAGCCCCGCCCACCATTGATAGCTGGCCTCCACTCCTCATACACCTCTATCCACCTTTTTCCGGCTCTTTAGGACTTCCCCGACCCGAATTATGAGGGCTTGTAGAAAATGCTGTACACTTCAGAGCGCGCCCCGCCCATTCTGGGCGGGCCTCCGCCCACGTCATGTATGCAGGAAACACCTTAGACATTGCTCCCTTACACCAAATTGTTTTCTGCTCTGTAGGCTTTCTCCCAACCGAGTTATGAAATTTTTCATAAAGCACTGCTTTTTTAGAACGCCCCGCCCACCGGGGGTGGGTCTCCCTAATTCGATGTTACTTACCAATGCACACCTTAGCCCACTTTTTGGCCCAGTTTCGAGGTCGTTTTTCACTGAAATCGAAATCTTGGTCTTTGGTACAATTCATTTCGACGCACGCCACGCCCTCTGTGGGCGGGGCTCCGCTTAGCTGATGTGTGTTTTGTATTACGTGAGACCCTGCCCACCCATCCCACACTTGACCCGGTCCCTCCAGGCGGATCCCGAGGAGCTAGGGAATTTCGTGACAGACATACAGAACGACAGACGACAGAACGACAGACAGAACGACAGACGAAGCGCTTTATAGTAATGTATGATACGTTATCGTTATCGTCCCGTTTTCATTCTGGAGTGCACCTCTTATCAAGCAGCCGCACCTTCTTATCTCATCGTATCATATCTTCCATGGGCTTACACTCGTCCAACAATTACTGCCTCACACCTTATCGATTGATAACGCGAGGGTAGCAAATCCAGCGTGGAAGCCAGCGTGACTGCTTCCTTTAATTGCTGTTTTTTTTACTGCAGCTCGCAATACAAAAGTTATCATAGGAATGCTGAGTTATAACCTCACGCTAACTCATCAGCGATAAGCTTTGTATAACCATGAAATCAGAGGTACGATAAAATGCGATTTAATGAAGCGAAAGAGGGTAGTTGAAAAACAGTAGAAGTGCGTAGACGAGATTTAGCGGTAAGCTCGTTCACTTTTGAAATCATCGGGCGAAAAGTGGTTTACGTTTCTCGGGCTTCGGTTCCCTTCTTATTTCCTTTCGCAGATGCATCGCATGGCGTCTCTGCTTCCACAGTTTAAGGCTTTAGCTTCTTGCGAGAAGCTGCTTCTCAAGATAGCTATGGCTCATGTGTTATTGCCACAAATGCCCCCTCGAAGCAGGCGTGGTCCGCCTGTCTAAAACTAAGAATTCCTTGCATGACATGATTCGATTCGATCCTCCGAGGTGGTCACTAGGTATGGCAATTCCACAGGTTTAACACAGACACAGAGTTCATTTCAATGGCAACCAATCCCCGAACGCATTGCCTGTAGCACAAGTGCACATTTTCGGCAGTCTTTAAATACAGACTATCGTATAAACTGACAGGATTGCTGATTGCTTCCAAAATCTGGTTAATAGAGTCATAGCGCGTTATGAAGAAAGCGGAAGTTGATGAGATTGAAAAAAACATTTGAGCTGAAAGCTAGCTAGCCGAAAACAAGACGACATGCATTTCATCACAAATATGTTACTTAACATTAAATTTTTCCTCGGTTAGTACTGCTTCATTTCAGAGACAATTACTACCGAAGCGGAGAGAGGTTTCATTTGTGTTTTCTCTATACTCGATATGGATTCCTTCGATGCCACTACAGAGTTCAGGTACAAGGTTTTACTGTGTGAAAAAGAAGTTTTCAAAATCACTCGAAAAACTGTTGTTTCCTTTGGTTCAAGTAGTATGCAGATCAGATTGAGTGATTAATACTGGTATACACGTTTCACTCTGACATATCGATGGGACGTTCCCATAGACGAACCCTTGATAGTTATCTCTTTCCCATTACGTTTCTTGGCGACTATTCATTTCGTACCTGCTACATGAGGACGTGTCGAGTTTTCCAGTCATGTTTTTCAGTAGGTTACGTCAACAATGAGAAGGGTGCGACAGCAGGAATGGGAGAATGTTTGACTTTCTTTAGGCATCACTGGTAACAAATGCAATCTTTCAAAATAAGTTGATTTCCCATTACAGCGCGAGCACGTTGTCTTCTTTGCTGAGAGCTGTTTACCAAAAGAGGTGCGATTTTCAAAGCATTGCCACTTACCAATTTTTCTCATACAGTTTGTGGGAAAGAATAGGTGTATTAAATAGCGCAGTTAGCCCAGAATGATTTGTTTGCCAATGCCCCATCGACCAACAACTAAGGTTGGTCGTTAAGGCACCTGTGCGCCGCAACATCGTGCTCTACACTAACATCTCTCATTTGTTGTATATGCTGACAATTTGTCAAGTCCGTAATGGATGGGAATATAACTACCATCTACTCGGAAAATGAGAAGAGCGTACGCACAATCATCACAAGGGCAAGTTCGACCGGCCAAAAAAGAAAATAAAAGCCACTTGTGGTGCCGCCCGTCACTATGTTGGTTGTCTGCACTGACGCCCTTCTTCGCTTTCCACGAAATAGTGGGTAGTAGGAGTAGGACGAGTCACAGTAGTGGAAGCGTTAGGATATCAGTGATGCCTGCTTCTCTCATTCCATTTCCTTCCATGCCAGAGAAAGAAGTGTCTGTGAGCATAAGGGAAGTGTTGTAGTACTTGTGTTGCGGCGCATATTCGAATTGCGAAGCCTCTGCGTTTTTGCTGCTACAATCCGTAAAATCCAATTTTGGCCTAGATTCAGAATTTGAAGCGGCTCAGTACCGCAAGCCTCTTCCTAGATTGTCCTTGAAAAGCCTTTTATTATTACCACGCATACCACTACTGATTGTTTGTTTGTTGCATCGTCGAAATCAGTCTCATACTTTGGAGTTAAACTTTCTTGGCTTTTAGAGAGCAAATTCTTCGTGTGAAGAACTCAGACAATTCAATTCCCATTCGTTCTCGTCGGCAATAAAGCAGATCTTCGTGAAGAGCGAGTGGTGCCGTTGGAAATGGCACGGCAAAGGTGAGCGTGAATGGGATTGCAGAGTTTCATTCTTTAAAACGAGATTGTGCTCAGTATCCATGGAAACACCGAACTAATAAACTGGTTCAGTTGATGGACTGCAACATTATTATTCGCTCAAAATGTCGATTCAATAACAAAAATGTGCACTTTCAGAGCTGAGCGATGGGGCGTTCCCTACGTGGAGACTTCCGCCAAAAGAAGAGAGAACGTAGACAAGGTTTTTTTTTCTTTTTCCAGTCGTTTTGCGAATTTTCTGAGTTACCATATTCAGATTCGAATGGCCCTTCCAATTCAGTGTGAAAGCCTCACCTGGCAGAATTCTGCGTGTTTTGGGCCGTTTTCTCCAAGTACTTTTTGGTTTTTCAAGCTAAGGCAGTTGACAGACTTTGCTTACTCTAATTCGAACGGGCCGATAGCGCTCCCTATTTATCCATTATATGACTACAGTTTCTTTGAACACGCAGTCATCTACTTAAGGCGGATTTTACGATAAAATGGCTGCCTGTTGGGAGCAGGGATGAGCTGCAGTGGTGAGGAAAAAACAAAAACGGCTCCAGAATCCGAAAAATGAGCCACTTTTGTGCCCGTTGATTTCCACTTGGGGCAAGGCAGCGACAAAAGAATGAGCTAATTTGCGCGTGTTAGGCTTGATTGCTGTATCACACCAGCAAACATCATTCTTTGATTGATAATGCATTGCATAGAAAAACTAGGGGATATATCCGCTCGAAATGAAGTGCTCTTTCATGATAGAGAGCGAAAGGTGGCAATAATAGCGATAATAGCAAGCATCCAACACACTTCCATTATTACCTCGCCGTTGCTAGGCGAGTGGCGTTACGAGCTTCCCCGATACCTCGCTAGGCCACTAAGCGTATAAGTTCTGCTGCGGAAAAGGGCATCGCCTCCGCACACTTAGGGCGCATGCATAGTCGGTCGTCCGAGAGCAACGATCGTAACGGTCGTACGACCGCAAGTGTCGCATAAACCGCGGTCGCAATATGGAAGGCGACGCGGTCACCCAATGCAAACCCAGACAACACGTGACTGCGCGTGATGGTATTTCGAAAGTCCGCTTGTAGTGTGGAATAGTAGCTGCGTATTGATCGTGGGACACTTACGATCGTTGCTGTCGGACGACCGGCTATGTATGCGCCCAGGGGGCTCGCAGTTTTTGTACTAGGTAAATTTCTCCTTCCGATTTTTCACTCTAACCCTATCGCGGAGTCCTTCGAACCCGAAACAAAAGGTGCCGAGGTTTGTCATAGGTTCTTTTGACGGATCTCCTTATTTACTAACACTGTACATGCTATTATACTTTCAATACTAAAATTGCCCATGCGTATGGACTTTTGAGTGGGTTAAGGAGGAGGATATTGAGTTCCTCATCGTTCGTGAATGAGTTTTATCTAGTTCCCTGTGACTGTAAATCCCTCATTCGGTTTAATATGCGTTTGGGAAAAGGTTGATGTTCTAAAGCCAACTAACAACACCTGTGGAAAATCCGAATTGTTCTATCTGGTGTTCCGAGTTGTGAGCTCCTGAGAAAATTGGTAGTCCTTTTCCTTTAACAACGTCAGTGCTATCCTTTTTCGAGTAGGCAGTATTCCTCGTTGGTCGAATCGAATAAGTGAATCACCCTTGAAAGGAATGGGAAACTTACAAACGTTCTTCGGAAGGTTACGCAATGTGTTTGAATCACCTATTTAATACACCTGCTTAGAATGATTACCTACTCTCGTATTCAATTCCTCTTCTCCATAAATTTCGTCCGATACTTCTTATTATTTACCATAACCCTTATCGCCTTTAATTGATAGCGGAAACATTTCCAGTCGATTTAGGCTTCGGACTCTGCCCTTTCTAGGGAGCAAAACAAGCCATTCATTATAGACCGATGGCCAGTTATTCTAGAGGCCCAGTTCATTTAGAATAAGGTCTGCTAGCATTTTTCCAGTTTGTAAGAATTATAAATTTTTGCCAATTAGGCTCAGCTAAAAAGCGCGCGGTTTGAAGAGAACAATGTGGCATTCATTTTTATGGAAGTGCAGTCACTTAGCGCCAGGGTGAATATCGCTTGAGGATTCCTCAACGGCACGTCGAGGATTCTCTGCCCGATCAGACACGATCTCTCGCGCGGACATTCACACTCGCCATGGGCGTGCCGTCTGTGCTCTCCGCGCGGATGTTCACTCTCGGCACTACTCTCACATGGTAGAGAGCTATGGTCGAGGAAATCCTCGACCGTTATTCACCCTGCTTAGCGCTGAGATTCCTGGTTGCTGAACAGAGGTTTTCCCAAGCTTCTTTCTCCTTGTTTTCGATCCTATCGATTAAAGTCTTCAGCTCGAGGATACAGACATGTTTGCAGGGGCTAGGTTAGTCGGGGAGGGGGTTGCAGGAACAGGAATCCGTCAGTCAAGGAGAGCGCGGCCAATCCAGGAAGAGGGGGTGAGGCGAGTCACGTGAACAGAGGTTTACCTATGGTTTTCTACAATACCTAAGATAAGACCAGATCGTTCGTGATAGGTAACGACTCATTTAAAGGGTATTTCTGATAAGTGCCAGTGCAGTGTGGAAGTCCTTTAGCGCCACAGTTTTGGCCTGTAATGATCCAAGGGGAACGGTCCTTAACAAGGATAATGGAGATGCCTTTATGAAAAAGTTATATAAAAATGTGCAACTTCCAATGAGTCAGTGATGAATCTGTTACATGCTTTATCTCGCAAGTAATGGCCCTTTTCGCCCCACTGAACTGGATTTTCACTACGCGAACATGCCGCGCACCGCACCGGCCGCCCCCTCCCCAACTAGGTTAGCACCGAGGCTGCTGCCTGCCAGTGCTGTTTCCCGGTCTCTTAGTTTATCGTAATGACCTACGAATTCTCTACTCCTTCGCGAAGGTTCACTAGAGTTTCTCACCTTAGGATTCCGCTTGCCTTCTCAGATTTTATTTTCGTAGCGGTAGTCCTCGCTCGCCCACTTTAGCTGTGGTCTGCTCACTAAAATTCTGACACCAAATCGTGGATAATTCTGGCACAAGCCCACCAATGTTATTGTTGAAGCACGCGCTCTCTCTATGATGTCTAATCACCTCCAGCCTAGCACTTTTTGGCTCTTGAAAACTTGTATTATGATTACGGCTAAAGCTCAAATCCTTGGAGCCTCCGCACACTGCGGATGGGAGTTTTGAAGACCTACGCTTACATCTTCCAACTTTTTTTTTCCATTTTGCTCTATCCTCTTTTGTCAGAAAGCATAGTATACTTCAATGCCGCTTGCTAAGTTAGGGGTAGGGGTTCTCCAGCAAAGTATAATAGCGGATGAGGCATAGCTATTCTCAACGTGCCGTGCGTCGTAGAAACAAGTTCTATCTCACACTAAAATCTCGCCCAAAATAATTTTGCTCCTATAAGAGTAATCTTGCAGGTGTTCTACGACTTGATGCGTGAAATCAAACGGCGGAAAGGCGGCCCGATGGGTGCGTCTGCTGCTGGCCTCGATCCCTCGCAAACGGGAGGCAAGAAGAAGGGAGGTATCAAGAAACTCTGCACCATTTTGTGAACGCAACAACGTTAATGGTCGACCTCGCGCGCTACGCGCATACCGCAATTTCTTTAGGGCTAAAGATTTGCGTCGTTGTTGACATCGAGATCTGACAAAAGCTGACTGTCTGTGTATCATTATCCTCCCTATGATCGTTGCCTCTGACTCATTGCCTACTTTCGCCTTATTTGGAGAGCGACACAGTCTTCCTATCTTTTACTCGTACGCTCGGTTTCCTGTTGTAGTCCTTCTGCACATTAGTCATTACCAGAGATTTATGTTCTTTCACATTTTTCGAAGTTAGCAGTAACAAATGTTTACGAACCTATCGACCCAATCCGGGTTTCTGTACTACAAATATGACTCGTTTCAGTGTAAAGACTTCATGTGCATAATACCTACTAAATTATTGTTTTTTTTTTGTTTGTACTTGTCGCTGTCAGTGATTTTTGCAATGATAAGTTCTAAATATTTTTGTGAAACAGAACAAACGGAAGCAGGAATGGATCTCAACCTCCACTTCGCGAGTTTTGAGCAGTCAGGACTGCGTTCATGAAAAGTGGAAAATTTGATCTGAGCTACTAGTCAAGAAGTATGCAAACACACCAGTTAAATCTCCAGAATTCTTATCAAGGCATGCAACATGTATCCCATCGTTTTTGCTAAAGCGTAAATCCCGCTGAGGTCGAAAATACGGGTCTACAGTCCATGGTCCGTATGCTTTTCTTTCGGGTGAGGGGAAGACTCCCTTCGAAGTAGCTACCCAAAGCAGACGCCCCCGAAGCAGAGCGTATGCTATTCCTTGGAACTTCCGAACTTCATCGGCTGACAAAAGACGCAGTTTGTAGGGCGCAAAATGACGACCTTTTAACCATGCATGCGATTGCGTTTGAAGAGTGATTACCTGTAACTTATGCTTAGTTTTATTGGTCGATGAAGACACAAAATGGGATCCCTTGGTGAGATTAATCCTATATTGTACGTGCATATAATAGGTTTCATTGGACGGGAGTCCTGGCGCAGCAGATCTTCCCGGCAGCGTAATCACATTTTTGTAGAGGGAAGCTCGACGGTGGATAATTCAGGTTACTTGTGCAAGAAGAGAAATGGCTGAGCACAAAAACGAGAATTTCTCCTTGGCTTTGAATACTTTAGGCGCTCTACCACTGGAGGCTCTAACCCCACTTGATCCTATATTCTACAAATATGATTGGTCATGCCTTACTTGAAGGGTGATTCTTTGTTTCTATCCATCTCAATGCTTTTATCCTTTGATGATACAAGGAGCCTGTTTTTCTTCGATTTGTTTGAATCCAACTTTAAGGACGACTTTCCCTGTGTGTGACCCTTATTTATAATTAACGCAAGAATTAGGAGATGAGCTGTAGAACGTGTAACAATCAATTTGTACTATGCGGATTTGATAGACTATCATATACTACTTGACAGCAGATATTTGAACAGCACGGTACTCTGTGCAGTAAATCGAAAAAAAGCGAAATGCAACTTCTCTCCCATGTAAACACGACTGACTTAAAATACGCCATCGATCTACGACCTTTCCAGATACACCACAGTTTGCGCTCTTTTCCTCTACACCTCTTATCATGCCGCTGCCTGCTTGTTGATACTCCACTCAGTGGCTTCCCCTCATTTCTTACGACTGTGTGCACATCCACAACCCTTCTCAAGGCGGAAATCATAGTCCTCATGACACTCTAGCAAACGCCGGTAACCTTCAACACCTACGAGGCAAGACCGCCCGTACTCAGAATTGACTATACTAATGAGAAAGTTATCCTAGTCCCTAGTTTACAATTTGTGTATTCGACGAGTTTGGAAAAGGAGAACGACGTTTCATGAATCACCGATTTTAAGCAAAACCTATGATTGCCTGAATAATGGCTGAAGCGCTGATTTAGAGCTAAATCGTGATTGAACCCTCACTAGTGAACGGTGAGTGTAGCACCCTTTTGTCACGCGAAGTTAAATTGCACTTTCGTCTTCAATGTTATCGTTGCGATCGTTTTGACGTCCTGTCTGCTCGCAAGACCAGAGAGGTGCTTCGTTATTTTTTTGCATCAAGAGGGCTTCACGTGACAATGACACAAGCATTTGAGAAACGTTTCCGAACGAGAAATTAGTCACTTATT